CTGAAATTAATAGCGAGGCACTCCTCTGATATGATATTAGAAGAGCATTACTTCTTCTGGGCTTGATATATTTTTAGAAAGTAGAGGCTAATTATTAAAAATACTTCTCCAAGTTGTCAATAAAAAAAGCTAGTCAGTGACTTTCTGCAGAAAGGCATAACCCCCTCCACAGACTCCATCATTCTTCGCATTACTTCACAGTGGTGGATGAGCTCTCCTCCGAACCTCTGACCGCTTGGCCCGAATTCGTACAGATCTGTCATGATCCGGCAGAGACTGGAAAATGACATTAGCTTCGTGTGCTCTGGGCTGTTCCAACCCAGTTGAAACTATGCAAGTGACAGGATCAGATTTTCTTGGAAAGAAGGGGAAACGGAGAGGAGGAGAGAAATACCAGTTAAATAGTGCGCTCCCTGCAGCAGACACCTGTATGCCTACTAGTATATCACCAGCACTGACAAATCACATTGTTGAAAAATCAACACTCTTCTTTCTGGTACCAGTGAGTCATGTTGTGATTTTTGAACAGAAATTAATCACGAGTGTTAGGTGTTCAGCCCAGCAGAGGAAGAACTGTGACTCAGGAAGAAAGCCCACCTCCATTCCCATTGTTAGCAAAGGGCTGCACTTTCTGCAACTCCCCCATAGCGGTTCTAGAGATGCATACTGTCCAGACAGAGCTTCCTGCAGCTGATCTCATTATTCTTACGTTTCATTTTAGGGATAGCACCTTTTTCTAGTGTGCTCAGCATTTATGGGGTGTTCACCATGGTATCACAATGATTGGATTTAGGGATTTCATTGAGAATCTATCATTCCACTCTGTAAATGGGTTGTGTTTGCATAGTTGAAACTCTGTTCTTCATCGCTCATCAGCCAAGGCAAATCTATTTCTCTTTCTTGATGAATAATTAAAAAGTCGAGGAATGTCCTCTCTGCATTTTTGCAAGTTTCTGAGTATTTTGTCTAGAATGGTCATTGTTCTCATTCATTACAACTAAATCATATTTAATATATGATAGGGAATGCCACCTATGATTTATGAACTGATCTGGCAAATAGAAGTTAATAACATACAGATCTCATTAATTGATTTCTCTCTAGGACGGAGGCGAAAAATATTTTTTTAGTTTTTCAGTTACGATGACTGTTCACAAATGTTACCTAAACATTGGGAAAATGTTCCAGGAATGTGCTGCACTGATTATCTGTGGGACCTCAATGCCAACACCTTCTACTTAGATGCTGCAGTTGTCTTTTGTGAGCCTGCCTTTCCAAAACGTAATCCATGAGATATACCCCATGTCCACGCAATTTGGCTGTGATATTCAAGCAAAAACGTCTGCTTGTTTACACTTTGTCAACTGGTATTCCCAGAAAAACTTTTCAGATGCGAGCTCTCATAAAGCAACACAGGAAGATTCTTGCCTTATTGACTAAGACCAGAGTTGATACCCTTGGAAACTTTCCAGACAAAGATGCAGGGTTCTGTCAACAGCCCAATACCGCTGCCTGACTTTAGGCTTGTTAAATTGCTCTCATAGAATAGTAACTTTGAGAGAAACCAAGGCAACCAAGTATTGGATCTTTATATAATGACAGTAAGAAAAATAATATTCCAGCCTTTCAGTGCATTTTCATTCATGCATTTTCCTCCAGAAGAAGACAAAGTTCAGGACCCAAAACCTCCACTTTGGCTAGATAAAGTAAATACAGCGTATTTTCCAAATTGAACACCCGCTCTGATCAGCAGAAGTATCTCCGTAGCTTTCATTGGCTTTGTGTTAGCCCTTGAGAGGGTGACGTACTTTGGTTCATTTAAAACTTCCCTCATGCACGTTTGGAGTCTGTACCTGCTGAGTCAATGCCAAGTCCCCATTGGCCTCAGTGCAGAAAGAAATGGAATTCTTTATTAATGTTTATCTGGGGAGGAGAGATTATTGAACAGATACCTACCTGTATCCTTCTCATGAAATCCCGACTCATAATCTTATAAATAACTTTTTAAAATAGGATATAAAAAAAAAGCAAATGGCTTTGGAAAAAGTCAGTCTTCAGAGATGTCTGCTATATTTTGAGAGTATTCACAGACGACCTGTAAGTATACCATGGAAAGATAGGTAAATTAAAAAATTATCTAACTTCTTTAACAAGTATGTTTGGACTCATATACTAAATATATTTAGGTGAATTTTACATGATTAATATACTTTTAGTTATTTCAAACTAATCTTCGGGTATAAATGTTATTGCCCAATACTGATGAATTTGCCCAATACTGATGAATTTGGTTTATATTTTTTAAAATAAAATTAAAAGGCAAGTTTCTAGTGGCCCTGCATCTCTCTTCATGATGGGAAGCTGCAGGTTTTGATGATAAAAGTGGAGGATTATATATCCACAGCAGACTTGGCTCATGCACACTGCAGCTGTGCTACGATGCATGAAAGGTGAGACTGCTTGGAGCTGAGGAAGGTTTATAGGGCCCCACCTGAGACGTGCAATACAAAAAGGACATGACCTGTCATCTGTGTTTGTGTTTCCATTTATTTCGCAGCAGCACTAAAAACTATTAATTAAAATCATTTCAAGGAACTTCATTGCCGAAGGTAGGTACAAAACAAAAAAACCTGCCACCATTGGCAAGATGATGATTTGCAAATTTGTCTATACACAACTGAGGAATTCCTGTTTGATGCCTGTGTCTGCATTCTTATGACTGTCTCTCTTGCTGGGTACTAATTGCTGTGGTAGAGGAAAAGGGGGGGCACCAGCGTGTGTCAAAAAATACGCCAGCTCTTAAAATTATTATGATCTGAATCTGATCTCTCTGCATCTTTGATAAAATAATTTTTGTCCATCTTCTTTGGGCTTGGAATGAGAGCTGAGGGATGGAGAGAATATATAGGAAGGATAAGAAGAAATTATATTTCCTAAGAAGGCGAACAAAAAAGAAATTGAGTTATCAGTGCTAAACGGAGGTAAGAGAGACTTGAAGATTCAAAGATAGAAAAGAGAATAATAGATGATGCTTTGTAGCACCGGGTTCAGAGAGGGTGTTTCTTCTCAAGGTTGAAGCAGCTCTATAACTAGCTAAGAAAGCAGCTGCCAGCTGCATCAAGAGGTGATCAGTGACACTAAGCAGCCATGAGGGAATCTGCGGTCTGCCAAACAGCTCTGTCCTAAGGTCGCAGAAAGCTCAGGGACACAAGGCACATTACAGGGTCTATAATGGTCCACAAGGGAAGTGGACTAGCTGGGATAGCAAGCCCTGACATTCTGCAGTGAAGCTTGCCTCGAGAAATAGTCCCCAACTACTCACTCTATGCAGTGTCATCGACCTGCATGTGTCTGCTGTCACCCTTACTCCTGATGACCAGGCATTTGACTGTTTCTGGGCAACTCTGGACTATTGCCCATACTGCTGCCAGCCTGTGTTGTCAAACCTGCCACATGGTCACTCATCTGAGCGTGTGCAGCTGGGCCTCCATGCAGTAGTGCACTTGTGTTTCCAAGACAGTGAAATAGTATCCAGTGGATGCTGACAGACGTGTAGGTTGAGGAGCAGAGGCTGATGGTGAACTAGTTTGAAAATGACTCGGTTTTGATATTTAATCACTGAGGGACATGTTCTTCTGGTGAGTTTGTTTTTTTTTTCTTGTAAGATTTGCAATTTTTTTTCTTAATACAGTAAGTCAGCTTACTGTACGGCCAGTTTCTATAAGGTTTATTTTTGTATTTACAAATATTTGTAACTGGATCAGGCTCTTAATACCTGATTGAAAAGAATATTCTCCTCCAAATCAATGCTCCTAGTGCTCACAAAAGAGCAAGAGCAGATTAACTGAACAGACGGGTAATGCTGATCGTGGAAGGCGGTTCCAGGGAGGGATGCACAGAGCAATTCTGCTCGCTGAGGCTGTAAAGTTGCAGTCTCGGTGCTCTCCATCCCACTGGGCAGCTGAGTGTCCTGCCCCAGGCAGGCTGGCACGTTCCTGTAGCTGTATGATCGTTATTAAGATTAAGGCAGATACCGATGCAACGCACAGCAGAACCATGTCTGAACTCGTGCAACTCCATTAGCATCTTCGGAATGAGTCAGAGAATGATTTACTCTCTGCCTGGTCGGTGTGGCTCAAGGAAGTGAGGAACACACATTGGGTATTTTTCCATTAGAAAACAGATGGCCATTTTCCTTTTTAGAAATTATATGGATTAAACTACAGTTCTCAAGGGATATCTGTGGAAGCAAAATACGCATCAGGTCATACTCCTCTAATGCCTTTCTCAGCTTTAGAGGAGCAAATTAGAAATTAATTTATTTACTTATTAATTTTACTTTTGGAGGAGTATATTTTGTTATGATTTCTCTTTAGGTAACTAAGCAAGAAAAGAGTCTCATGAAGCCTCTTTATGACAGATACAGAATTATCAAGAAACTTCTTGCAACTCCATCTTTGATCACAACAATTGTAAGTTGGAAAGAATTCATATCCATTGTCAAGAAAACATATGAAATGCTGTGTTTAATTTGTATGTCAGTTTGGCAGCAATGGAACTACTGATATTTGAAGAATCTGCTCAATGGTTAACATCGGGTGTTGACATTTCAAATAAAGCAAAAGCTCTGTAAAATTCAACTTCTAGGCATGCCAGAGGTTGTAATGTATGGCAGCGGTTTCTGAGGCAACCGCTTCAAACGGCTGGGCAAGAGAGCAAAGGCTGGCATGAGTTTTCTATTATGGCTAACAGATGCAACGCAGGATAAACCTGTCTCTTTCCGTGAAACACTATACTGTCACTATACATACCTTTATGTTTTGTTGAGAATACTTTTATCAATAATGTAGCACGTAAATATTATTTTTAGTAGTTTAATAATATATCAGTGTAACGTTACAGTACTGGTCTCACTGTGAGTAGAGGTAGTGGAATCTGGCTATTTGGAAGTTAATTACCATGTCTCTATCGAAAATACTAATAGTATTGTATAGACATAATAGTAATTGGGGCTGGGTTGATTTTTAAAATTATGAACTATTGTCTTGTTGGATGACAGTGGAGCTTTAGAGTTCTTTGAAAAATCCCAGTGTAAACCTCTGTACACATCCACACAGGTATTTCATTTAATAGTTGAACTGAAGTTCCCTTGTGTTATTACTTAGGAGCTTTGCTCTGCAGAGTTTTTATGTTCAAGCCTTAGTTTCAAAAGCTCAGCTTTTCTTCTGAGGATGAAGGAACATTAGGAAGACAGTGACATCACACTACTTTGGTAGTTAACATTTGTAGCTATAAAATTGTGGAACCTCTACCTCCAACTCTTGCTACAGTCAGAATTTCTGGACATAATATGAATAACAGATGGTCTATACCAGGAGTACAAGTTCCAGCAAGGTGCAGTGCTTCCATAAATACAGAATGTTCTTTAAATCTTTGCTACATATAAAGGCTTTTGAGCAAACAGAAATAAATCACTGGCTGGAGATACTCAGAAGCAGGGCCAACTTCTGTCCTGTTTAGTCATGGCAGACATGACACAGCAGCTCAGTGAGCCCCACGAGACCTCTCATGAACAATCTCAGGCAGACCTGCATGAAGCTTTCAATGTGTAATCTATTCCAATGAATGCATCCAGGAAGTTAGGTCCTAATTCTTTATGTTATCATCCTATTAACTGTTAGTATTGTAATTTAAACAACTAATTTAATGATGTTTTACATATTACAAGCAGGAGGAGGAAGACTCAGATGAAGACCATTCTCAAAGCAGCCATGAGTTATCATCTGGTCCAATATCTTGCCTCCCTGTCGATGAGCACCTGTGTTACTCTCAGGAGGAGAATGAGCCTGTACACGTTTCACCTCTGGATGAAAAGAAAGTTCTCAGGCAAACAGCCTTGTCTATGTCCAATTTGCATGAGGCAACAATGTAAGTTCTTCCTTTTTTTCTCCTGAATGTTTTAAAATATTTTATGCAGACTTTGTAAATGAAACATGATCCATACTTATTGCATGAGAATATTCTATACCGAAGTGATTCAATGGGTTTTTATGGGACAAAGGAGGCAGAGGATATTTGTTGTTGCAGATAGGAGAAAAAAACTAGAGTGGTAGATACTACATAATGGCACAGTGAAGATATGCAGGCCCACCTGTAACCACTGCAAAATTTTAAGAGACCTACTTACATTCTTATAAAGCAGTCACAAACCAAAGCACAGCTCAGCCAAGCAGCAGGATGGCCTGCTCCTGTGCGTGTGTACTGGGACTAACTGTGTGAGGGATGTAAAAATGCTGGAGACATGGGGCATACAAACAGCAACAGGTGAGCCGAGTGAAGGATCACGCAATACGTGGTCACAGAGGAGGCCACTGAATGCATGTAAAATCAGTTTCTTCCTTGCAGAACAACAGTTGTTAAGTGTCTGGCTGCCCAGAAAAACTTACCACTCTCCTACCCCCATTATAAAACCAAGATAAAGCCCTCCTTCTCATTCGTAGTTAAGAATTTCAGGTTGCATGAGGCAACAAATCTCATGGGCTGTTACCACTCAGCCCTGGAAGTTGTTGAAGAACATGTCTTCCAGGAAGAGATGTGTTCTCATAGCTTATGGGATGGTGTCTTTTTCTTGGGTTTCGACTGGGAGCTCTTAGATGCATAAATGAAGTTAACTAGGCTCTGCCAAAATTGAGAGTAAATAAAAATGTCTTGGGTTTTCCACATAACTCAACTATGTATGCAATAATTTCCTCACAAATGCTGTGAAGATATTTCTGTGCATTTTATTTTTATCACAGAGAAAAAATACGAGCTGCACAAGTCATAATGGAATTCTTTCTCTGCTTAAAAACCTTATTCTCCAAATACTAGCTAAAATGTGGCCTCCAAAAATTCTGATTCTGGGTACTACTAGCATTTCCACTGCATCCCAGTAATGTTTGGTGGCAATAGCTGCTTTAAGGAGTAGGGCTTGGCTGTAGCGCAGTTGCAGATGTGCAAAGCATTTCCTATGATATGCTGCGTCTTTTCCATGCCATTAATTTCATACAGAATTAAGAACACTAGCAAGATTCAATCCTGAAGGCTTTTCCTCCCATGTTGTCTGTAGTGTCTCTACTTTCACTTTATTAGAAGGGCGAGGCTACCAGTAAAAGGGAAGGCATGCAACTGTGTATTGTGCGTGATGTTACAGCCATAGTTGGCGGGATGTGGCAGAACGCCTTGGCACACTTGAGATCAGCGCCTTCCAGGGCCCGTAGCAGAAGGCTGCTTATTACCCAAAGCCACAGCTTTCACAATACTTCCAAGCACATGAAGGGTTCACGTTCTTGTCTCTGTTTTACAGGCCCGTTCTGCTTGAACATCTCAGAGAAACAAGAGCAGATAAGAAAAGGCTTCGCAAAGCTCTCAGAGAGTTTGAGGAACAATTCTATAAACAGACAGGAAGGTAATTACCCAGCTCAACAAAAGCCCTCTCCTCCTCCCATTTGGGCACCTATGCAGATGCGTGTGTTTCTTCTAGGGTGGGTACTCTTAGGTGAGCAGGACAAAGAAGCTGCAGGTAGGGACTGGAAGATATCACGGAGGTGTCCGGTCTCTGTGAAGCTGTTCATCTCCCTGCTTAGTTCCTCTCCAATGTGGGCATCCCCAAAGACAGTCAGGATCTGGGGATCTTCCAGGACATGTCTGCAATGCGTATGAACCCTGTCTCAGCACAGGAGCTTCCCTGAGCTGAAGGGAGGCTGCTAAAGACTCTTTCTGAGGATGTCAATGTGCAGGGATTACACTCGGCAGTTGGGCTGTTTTTAAAAGGCCAGATTTGAAAAAAGACGACAGTTTCTTTCACCCATAGATAAATGCTGGCTACCTTTCACTCTTCGTTTATCCTCCTCCCTCATTTAGCAAACTTGCTTGGTGAACACCACAGAGGATATGGGCAGGCAGTACTCAGGGAACAGTTTTCAAAGCACTGTGTAATAACTTCTCTGTCTATTTTAGAATGAAGTAGTTATGCTTGCACAGCTGACAAGAAAGAAAATTACCTGGTATATGAAAATTCAGTATTTTAAATACTATTATTTCATTTCTGCCTATTAGAGCTTTTTGGTCCTGTCAAATTATCTTTAGTCACCCACAGTTAGGGGGAAAAAAAACAACTAAATAATCCTCATTAGTTGTTGCAGAATTAACTTAAAATACTATGTCTCCTCTTACTCATAAAAATGATGGCACTTTTATTTGCTTTTCATAGGAGTCCTCAAAAAGAAGATCGCGTGCCAATGGCTGAGGAATACTCTGAATACAAGCACACAAAAGCCAAAATCAGGCTCTTGGAGGTTCTCATCAGTAAGCATGACATTTCCAAAACGATTTGAAGCAAATGTAATGCCGTGGTATTGTTCTCTAGCGAAAACCAAGCAAACAAACACGTAATGAAAAAGAGGAAGTAATTTTGCAGGTCTTGGTCTGCTGCACAATTATTTGACACACTGAGATTTCTTGATGCACTTTACCAATTACACTAGCTGGGACGAGAGAGGACAGCAATATGCAAGAATATTAAGCACGGGTGAGTGGACTACAGTATATATTTTTTTTCCTTTTGAAAAATCCTTGAAGTGCACTGTGAGAACGTTAGCAATTAAAAGGACACTGAAGTATAGTAGATCCTGAGTTTGACCTGCTCTTAGTTTTAAAAAGTGTGAGGAAATGCTCTCCAGGTTTTTAGTACATCTTAGTACATGATGACGTAGCACACGTTTCTTTCCAGAATTAACATGCACTGTAATTAATTATTAATGTTGGTTCTCAGTGTGCCAGTTCACTGGATTAACAGAAACATGAGCTTAAAACAAATGAAGGAAAAACTCCTGAACATAATCTGTCATTCAATTCTAGTAGCTTCAAAGAAAGGTGCACACAAAGAACCAGTGCCAGGATTTGGTCTAAAATCCTGGGATTAGAGCAAAGTCATGCTGCCTATGCAAAAAAAGAAGGCTGGAACATGACTACAAAAAGAAAGAGAATGATAGGTTTTTTTAGAAACAAGAGAAAGTGTTTGGCAAAATTAAATAGACAGAGTGTTTACTGGGAAGAGATAAAACAGGTGCTGGCTGCTGTCCTTTTCACTGTGGGTCACAGGACCCTGCTCAGCTCACAGTAGTTAAAATTCAGTAAATAGATTAACAACTATGTGCTAAATTTTATTTCTGTATTAAACTTTGCACTTTATTTTTGCCTGACGCTGCAACATTTGCTTTTCTAACTACCAAAGCTTGTTTAGACGCATGCACTTTGTAAGGTGTCAGAGTACTTCCTGTGTTATAAATTGCGACATACATACATATATATATTAAACCAAGACTAGATTATTGCAGTATGCTAAGATATTTTGAATAGATGAAGTACATGGTATATAATTGAGTGTCACAGTTATCTGATGAGGAACGTTAGACTTCTTGTTTACTAAAAATAAGATTATAAAAAAAATATTTTTCCATTGGAATTATGCATCTTTCTAAACTTTCAGAGCACCACACTTTGTAATATTAAGGAGATTTTTTCACTATTTGGGATGGACCTTTGTGTGAAAAGTGGACTATCAACGGAAGGATTATCAGTGAGTTTTGTACTAGAAATGAAAAGTAGGGATTCTGGGAAATATCTAGCCCAGGCGTAAAGGAAGGATGAGTTAAAAAAAAGGGACTTGAATAAGTTGAATCATGTTTGTTTAGTGTTTTACTCTCATTTTGTATTGACTGCGTAGTATAAGCAACCTGTTTTCTATCTTGGTAAGAAGAGTTTCATTTTATAAAGACTATTATGTACCAACCATGTTTGTATTTATATTGTATGTAATGGCTCGGCACGATTTTGAAGACGTACACATTTTCAGGTAGTGTGGAGGAAAAAGTATGAGCACTAAAAAAGGAATTTTTTATTTCTCAGAGGTTTGTTGTTTCAGTGTACTGACTTAATAATTTATAACTTAACTTTTATGAATCAGAAATGGTCTCCTTCGTAATTCTGTTTTAATTAAAGTCATCTAGAGCAACAGGAACAGATACAGAGCTATTTGAAGTTTACAAACTACATATTTGATAAGGGAAATGATTTCATGACATGTATACAATTGATATTAAAATGTAATCTATATATTCTATATGATTGTATAATATTTTATACAACAGTACAAATAAAATATTTTTCTATTATATTTATTATGTTGAGACACAGTTTCTGTTTTCAGTTAGCTAATATAAATAACATAAATAACACTGTCAAACAACACGTTGGAAGTGCTGACATTTCTAGGCTTTGAAATTTAAGTCATGCTGCAATTACAACCTTTCATGCTGTTTGGAGCTATCCCAGTATTTGTTCAGTAGTTAAAATGAATGCATATTTAAACACCATTTATAAGCCGTTATTGTTATTTTGCTTAAGCAGTTTATATAGGACTTTGTTATGTTTGGCAAGAAACAGAAAACAATTTTTGCAGCATCTAGGTATAAACAGTTGCCAGAAAGAAATCCAGGACTTCTAATCATTCAAAGCATCAGGAGAACAGAAGGGAGAGAGGGAGAGAAGAAATACTAAAATCCTATCGGAGACTTTGAAGACTCGTGTTTGCTTTTGGTGACAGCGGCATGTGCATGCTTCTGACAGAAACGTCTGACTATGGAAATGGGCAACAGAGGTGTGAAGGCTCCTACGTAGCGAGGGAAGTTTTAACGTCCAACACTGATATTGCAGGTCTTGCAGCTGGGATCTTTCTTTGCATTTGCAGTAGACAAGCTCATTAGTTGGTGACCAGTAATTTCCGCAACTGTGCCAAGGGAGAGATCCACAGGATCAGTGTAAATTACTTCCAAAATAACATCCTGGGCGTGATGGTAGACCATGGCACCGTCTTCTTCATCGCAGGTCAGAAATTTATTATCTTTTATGTTTAGTTGAGGAAGACGCTGCTTACAGAACTCGTCTCCTGGTGATCCAACAGGGGCGATAACGAGAATGACGTAGTGGTAGGCTGTGTACATGCAGTAGAAGTCTCCAAAGTACAAGTTAGTATTTGGGTTGAAGAGTTTTTCAGCTGCAACCTCAAACCTGTATCTTCCGTAAGGTGAATCTTGTGGTGGCTTCCCAGTGTTAAACTCGGTGTTGCAGCTAAAGAAGATGCCTTCCAGCTTCCCACTGATTGGAGAGCCATGGCTGCCACTGTTATCCTTAACAGAGGGCTGCATAGCATTCCCATGATGCTCTCTACAAACGAATGACTGGTATTGTTTATTTTGTAACACATATTAAAGAAAACGTGAAAAGTTAGGACATCATGCTATGTGGTAACAGTACTGAAGGGACACAAAGGAAAACTGTTAAACTTACAACTGTGGTGAGGGTCATGATCTTAGGATCCAGAACATCAAGTGACACCAGACTCGGAAAGAGCTAGAATAACTAACTTCTGCTCAAGGGGAAAATCTGCTTTCCCAGTCTGGCCTCTCCATCAGCTGTGAGCTGTGCAGTTGTTATGTGCAGGCAAAGAATAGCACAAACAAAAAAGCCCCCAAACTACCAATATCTTTAATTAGCTGATCTGTTCAGCCTTCAATTCTAACAATAAACGCATTCTAGTTTAATCACAGGTTGAAAACTGCAAGTCAGTCTCAATATGCTGGATATACTGTTAATGTGTATTGTTTAGCATAGGCAGTATATCCTTCATGCAGAAAACTGCCACTGAAAGTTATTTCTCAACAGCATTTTTCAGAGGGCTTATAGGAATGAATGTACTGTCTGCAATAGTTTTTTTCCCCCAAATGATAATTTTGGGTCTAATTTGTCTTCTGCTGACTTCACTCAAAGCAGAGCTGGGCACAGAGTATTAGGTAATTTGGTTAGTTTCCACTTTGGTTGGTATCCAGCTTCTGCCAGCACTAGTCCTGAAGGGAAAAAAATGTTCAAGACACTTTTTGTTATCCTGCCAGCTGAATGCAATTTGGTTTCAGTGAAAAGCAGCAATGTAACAAGTGAATTTTAAAAATACTAAATTCGAACTTGTGCTCAGCCGCATTGGGCTGCCAAATTTAGGAGAACAGTCCAAAACACCCCATCTAATCCTCCTTAGCACCTGAGATTTTATGTACAGCAGGACATTCCCCAGAACTTGTGCCCCGCACCTCTCTGGAAGTGCTGTAGTGACAGCTTTGGCACTCTCTGCACCTGCAACCACGTGATACTGGAAAGGCAAACATTCCGTTATGAAAGTCCTGCAAAACACCAGATTCACCAGGCACCTTTAGAAAGTGCCTTAATACACACTGACAGAGTAAAAACACATGAGACTGTGGGGCTGGAGAGTCTCACATCCCCCTCTTGCTTTACTTGTATTCTTTTTTTCTTTTTTGCCTTCTTTCATCTTTTTTTTTTTTAATTTTTATTTTTTGTTTTGAGGAGAGAAGAAACTAGCCAATCTGCTTTTAACTTGCAACAGCTTCTAGTAAAATGGTGCTGCGCGTGAGAAGGTTTTACTTGGTTCAAGTGGGAGACGAGTCAAAGCAAGCAAATTCAGTGTACACATATAAAACGGCTCTAATCAACTCAGTAATGTCTCTAACTGATTTTTCCATTATTTCTAATCTCCTCAGTAGCATACCTTAATTTGACTCAAGATAAATTTCAAAACAAGTTTTCTGGGCTGTTCAAATACTACGTAGTTATTGTCTCAAGTCCTACTGCACATGACATTGATTGGGGTGGGGGGATACAACTGGTATATTATGACTGAAGCGATTATTAGGGAGAGAAAAAAAAAAATCAGGTTGAATAACCACCATCTCTGCAACCTGAAGAGCCAGGCTTCTTGCAGTCCTATTTCTGTGGCAAGATACTGACATCCAGTGGCCAATTAGGCTAATTATAGGTCACTCTTCCCAGGAATCTGAGCTGCTTTATGGCACTCCCAGCCGAGGTAAGCAGCAGCATGACACAAATGCTACAAGCTCACACTCCAAACCCTATATTTAGGAGCTGCTGCTTTAGCACCGTGACTGTTGCTTGTTTGCCAATGCTACTGGAGCTACTCGCTACGCTTTTCCAAGCTTGTTTACTAGTTACGATGCCACAGAGGCCGTTGGCAGGCATGGTATGACCAGGAATTTTTCCTAAAAGGAAGCATGTCGTTAGGGTTTTTAACATAACATTCATGAGGGTGTATTGTGGAAGAACTAGCCCTTGTGACTGTATTAGTACATTTCTGCTCAGAAAAGGTGACCATCAGACAGTTACAGGTATTTAGTCATACTGACCTGGTTAACACCACTTTTTTGTCTCTTTCACTCACTCACTTAACAGAAGGGAAAACAAACTAGTCTCCATTTGTATCAAAGCAGGAAAGAAGATAACAGGAGGAAGGGGAAAAGATACACTGCAATCAATTAGAGTCACATTTGGCAGGACACGGCCAAAACCACAGCTATAAACGCGCCTCAGTGGTGATTTCCAAAGCTCTATGAGCACAAAGGCAGGTGCGCTACGATTACATAGCTGAAAGCAAAGCTAGATGAGAATCAAAACCATCACGGGCATCTCCCTTCTGTGGCGTCTAGTCTAGGACGGCAGCAGAGATTTATGAGGTCCTCGAAGCACCTCAACAACTACAATTCACTCTCTACCTCCATTCAGTTTAGCACCTTTGTCACTATATGCC